CTAGCTATTATTGTATTATATTAATTGCGTAAGGACTTTTTCATTCCTCTCGAATACTACTCATGAGTTACTGCAGTCATTGTTGAAATGTCTGACATTTGGTTTACCGTTTCTGTATTGTCGTTCGGAGGTCCCGTTTCTCATCTATCTCTCACCTCATAGCCTGAAGGTTACCTTGCTGGAAGTGAAGTGGAAACAAATTGCTTTAAAATTCGGCGGTAAGCTGGTTCCTCTGTCTCGCATACAGAAAACACTGTCAGCACCGGGACCAGGCTGCCTTTCTCATCCCATTGTACCTACCTCCACCGTGGTCGTTTTCACGTTCGATCCGCATCGTAATTTTGTCATGACGGTTGTTTCAAAGGAACAGAAGTTCTTAAAACCCATCGTGTCATAGTTACCGTCAGTAGATTTGTTTTCGCGGTTTTCTGCAAATCCTTTGTCGCGATAGTATGACCTCTATTCCATACTGCTCTGATCTCGAAATTGGTAGCACAGTCACTTCTCTGAAATAATGGCAACTCCGTGATCAACGGTTACCGTCTGTACTAAACTCCAGTGCTTACGAAAATTGCGCGGCCTTTCAGATATATAGAGTACTCTCGCCGCCTCAAGCGGCTACCATACCCCATAATACAGACGTCGAAGGCTCAAATGTAAAAAAACACTTTTCAGCTGGACTATAAAATTGTGTACAAAAAACATCCTAATTTATTTGTCATCGCGTTGTAACGTTGTTATATGCAGTTGTGTAATTAAATTGGAACATCGAAAAGAGAAATTGTGAATTTTGTTTGCGAATGCTGTGATTTCTCTGCGAGTAAAACATTTACATGACAAACAGATTTGGCATTTGTAGACTATGCCTCGAACTATGCGCTTTGAGAATCTTTTAAATAACTATAGTGTTTAAGAAAATCAAAAGGTGCAATAAACAAACTTTCATGTGGAATTCCTGTGTCTTTGCTTTGAGTACCAAGCGTCAAGATACACATGACATAAATACCCTCATATTTTCCCGTGCACATAATTAAGAACAGGGGATGCATGAAACACAAAGCAGGTGCGGCTGATCGGGTCGAAAGGTTGGCTTGTTAGGGTTGTTTGTGGGTTTCTGACGTACAGGGGAATCCCGCAACGAACTGCGTACATAACAAGCAACTCCTTAGGGCTGACCGGCTCACCCGCTCACCCTTTCGTCCCCGTCAAAAAACCGTGTCGGGCACGATTAATTTTGTGCTGAGGAATAGACTCGTTCTGTCACTGGAATTATCGCCCTTATTGTGGTGTCATCATCTAGAAAGTATGCCTGTCATTTACGATACTACCAACCTCAGCCCAGCCCAAGCACGCGCTCATAACGCCTGACTGGTAGGCAACATCCTGCCTACAGTGCATGCATGTACTGCGGGGTGGCCTACCCTGAGTCTCGCAGGCGCTGGGGTCCCACTGTCTCCTGTGCCGACTGAATATGAGGAAAATGGCCGGCTGTTCTCAGTCAAACTCTCTTCGGTGTCTGTGTCGTCCAACTTAACCGCGCTGGTAAACCAGGACTTTAGTGGCATTGACTCAAAATGCTCGAAAAAAGTCATTTTACGGTCAACGGACATCATTGATAGGAAACAAGAGGTAAATAGATGAATACCTATAAAATACTCGTTATCACGTGGTTATCAAAGTTACCAGGTGATAAGATAAGAAGATCATTTTGACGTCAACGCCTGATAATTTTTGAGCCTTGGTTCATTGACCATTCGTGACGTTCGTGACTATTCGCCCGAAATATAAAGTTCTCGAAAAATAATCATTTTGACATAACTTGTCATCATTCTGACAATTATATGTTTTTTATCGTCGAAAATGACGTTGTAGTGAAAAATAGCAGGCAATAATTTCTTTTCTGTTCTGGGCTCACGGTAGGCTATTATGAAGGTCCCGTGGTGAATTGACGGGTTTGAAGTCCATTTGAAATTTCCAGGCCAGAGAAAAATTTCAGATCGATGGAGATCCGAACCACCGACCTCTCACGCTTTGGATGGGCGCGCTAACGTCTGAGCCATAGAAGCAAGATGAGTGTTGTCGTTTCAGGGGACGATCCATTCTACACTGTCGCTGACTGCTACAAGGCTTTAAGTGTGAAGAAATATTTTTATTTTGTTCACACAAATATGGCAAACTTTTTTTGGGGTTCCTGTAGTGAGAGGTCAGACGGGACTTGGTCGCCGGGAGAGCGGCACTATCGTGGACATTCAGCCGGGGGGTAGGCCACCCATTCGACACCATTCGTGGGTCGCTTGTTCAGACCGGAAAAATTCTCATTCTTCGCGATATTCTCCCGTAGGCCGCACCGGCTGCAGCATTGGCTACAGTCAACTGTCACTGCCAGCAGTCAGCAAAAACACTGTGTTCTGACTACGTTCTGACGTTGTCTACTTTGCCTGATTTCTGTATTTAAATTTACTCATTTCTTTGTCTGTTTGCTCTTGTGAGCACCTTATAACTAGAAATCAAAATGCGTTGGTTCGAAGGAGATATTGTTCAAGCAGTAACTCAGTCACGAGCACGAAATGCAGTGTTTGTTGTGTTTGTTGAGGGTGAGTTTCATCATAGTAAATTCATTTTGAAACACAAACTTTGTAAGATGTTAATACATCATTTTTTTTTTTAATTTACTCCATTATTATACCTTGTTAAGATTACTAGTCCCATTTTTACTAGGCCCAACTTTGAAAGAAATAAACTTTATCTAATGGTGCGTTCATTTGCTTCACATTCAGTTGATGAGTTTGACATATATTTGCCAAGTCACTTATCAAAATCTCATTGTAACTTTTCCAATGTAGTGACCTATATGATGTCTCTTAGTAAATGATAAGAGTACATCTTTACATGTCTGTAGTAATCCTTTCCTCCAATTTTTAGGTGAAAACGAGACTTCAGAAAAGATATCAGAGGCAATTAATGATGTTGCTGTATCTACAAAGTTAGAAGGATCAAATTTTGTATCAATCCACTTCAAGAGTGGATCACAGACCTTCAATCAATTTTCACAAATCTGTATCCTT